GGGGAAGTGGAAAGCCACCCTTCTAACCCTGATTTCCTCTGGGGAGGTGGCTGGGGGACGGGGGAAGGAGAGAACATTTCACTGCTCACTCATTGTACCAGTTGAATTTTCTACCGTGGGATTTGTTGTCAGTTTCAAAGAATTTAAATAGTATTTCTATCACAATACTTGGGTATATATCCTGCTAATTCATTTTCCTTTACTTGCTGCTTTATAGTTCTTCTTAACATTGGTATCATACCATACAGGCTCTTGGGTAATGTGCTTTTTAAAATTTATTGATGTATTTATGAACATTTTACTACATCATGTCAGTCTTTCACAAGAGCTTTTTAATGGCAACCTTAAGATTTTGATGTATAGATGAAGTATAATTTAACCTATCCCCTTTGCCTTTTTTTTAAATTTAGGCTTTTTAAAAACCTTTCAAAAACACTAATATACATCTTTATGTATCTGATTATTTATTTAGGATATAATCCTAAACGAAGAATTGCTGGGTCAACATGGATGATTGTGTTTTTAAGGCCTTGGGTAAATGTTGCCAAATTGTCCTCCAGAAAGGTGGCAGTGATTTAAACTCACCGTAACAATTTTTGTTGCATTATACACATATGTAGACATGAAATTAAAGAGAAGTCTAGGTCTTAGGGCATGTTAGTTCAGTATTAGGAGATACTGCCAGATTGTCTCCTTGGTAATATTTTACAATTTTCTGTAGAGAGGTTTTGTACATCTTTTCTTAGATTTATCCCTAGTTTTTAAAAAGTATTACTGAAAATAATGTTTTTAAATTTTCATTTTCTAATTGTATATTGCCAATACATAGAAATAGTTATTTTTGTATGCTGACATTACATCTAGCAGCTGTTCTAAATTCACTTGGTAACTAATTTATCTATAGATTATTTCGAATTCTTTGTAAATAATCATATCATCTATGAATAACGATCTTTTTTTTTCTCTTTTCCCATCCTTATAGCTTTCTTTTTCTTGCCTTAAGGCACTAAGAACAGTGTTGCATAGATGTGGTTATACTGGGCATCCTTTTTTCCCACTCCTGAGTAAATATCCAATAGACATGCACACATACATGCATCAAAAGACATGCACCAGAATATTCATAGCAACATTGTTCATGACAGGCAAACGCTGAAAATCCAGAATGTCCATCAGTAATATTAAGTGTGCTGTGTTCATACAATGGAACACTGAACCACAGTGAAAATCAACAAACTACTGCTATGTACAATCATATAAATAAATTTTTCAAATGTTGAGTGATAGAAGCAAGACACAAAAGAGTATAGGCTGAATGATTAATTGTATAAAAGTCAAAAACAGGCAAGAGTTATCTATTGTGTTAGTAGTCAGGAGAGTGGTGACCCTTAGGGGATAGAGGGCAGGAACCGGCACAAGGAGGGGTTCTGGGGAGCTGGAAAATTCCATTTCATGGTCTGAAGGAAATTACAGAATGTGTTTAAAGAATCACTGAGATAAACAAGTTTATACTGTATACAGCACAGGGAACTGTATTCAATATCCTGTAGTAACCAATAATGAAAATGAAAAAGAATATGAAAAGGAATATATGTATGTATATGTATGACTGAAACATTATGCTGTACACTAGAAATTGACACATTGTAAACTGACTATACATCAACTAAAAAATCTCTGAAATTAAAAAAATAAAAATAAAAAATCACTGAGTTGCACCCCTTTAATTCATGTGCTTTTCTTTGTGTTTTATATTTCTATTAAAGATTAGTTTAAAAATGCATGCCCAGTAATTAATTCCACTTTGAGAAATTACTCCTAAAAAAAAAATCCAAAATGAGCTAAGATGTATTCAGTCACTTATTCATTAATTCAACAAATAGGTACAAGAATGGATGTTTACTGCAGCATTGTTTATAGAAATGTAAAGCAGCCTAAATGTCCAACAATATATGAGATTGATTTAAATATGGCATATTCAATGGAATACCATGTATCCTTCAAAAATAACAATACTATTTGTATTTATTGAAATATAAAATTATTCAAGCTATACTATTAAATTTTTTTTAGTTACAAAGAATATCTATAATATGACTCCATTTTTAAAACTCTGTGCACATATATGCTTTTAAAATGCCTGAAGGAATATATGCCGAAATGTGAACATCATTTATCTCTGGGGGAGGCAACTGTTTCCATATATTTAATTTCTAATTATCTACAAGAAGCATGCACTACCTCTACAATTTTTTAAGGGAAAAAAGATGTTCATAATATATCAGTATATGAAAACAGATTACAGAACAGTATGTATAGTATGACACCATGTTTGTTAAAAAAAAAAGATATATTAAATATTTATCATATATATCATACATCATACATATATTTGATATATCAAGTATGATATATATAGCTGTGCTAAAAAAAAGCTAAAAGGGCATGTAACAATAATTCTCTACTCTGCTTGGGTAGACAGGAGCAGAAGAATTTCCAAAGCCCTCCAGTGATTGTCTTTTTAAAATTTTTGCTTTTCTTTGTTTTCCAATTTTTCTACAGTCAACATGTATTATTTCTGTATTTTTAAAAAACTGATAATAAGGGTTAAAAAAAAAACAAAGTTGAGTCTCGGAGAAAAAGAGGGGCCTCCACCTCAGTGACCCTCCCTCCCACTGTGTACCCCACCCTCTTCACCCTTTCCCCACTCCTGGGGTCTTACATTTTAAGAAGAGCGATCGTTCTGGTGAAGGACTTGTTTTCAGCAAGGAACCTGGCTTGGCGCTGAAGGAGCCTGAGAGCTGGCAGTTCATGTCTGTAATGAATTGTGAGAAATAAGTGCCTGGTGTTCATGCCAGCAGCACAAATTACAAAACATACTAAAAATATTACAAAAATGGAAATTCGCATAATCTCTCCTCAAGAATCACATGCAAATTTAAGCAGGAAATGCAAATTCACAATAACAAGAAAACTCAAGGACAAGGCTGAGATCTATGGAGAAACAACCTTCTAGGACAGGAAGCACCTTCAGCAATGGCAGGCCAGCGTGAGCAAGCCTTGGACACCAGGAGGCTCCAGGACCATCCTGAGAATCAACTATGTATTTTATAGTCAAGGAAGGAGGCAATCTCACGGCAGACATGCAAATTCCAGAATAAATATGGAAAACAGGAAATGAAAGCTGAGCCCTCAAAAAGGCCTCATTCAGGTTAAACGGGAGTTCAGGGGAAACCCAAGCCATGGTCCCTGTCTTCAACAGCTCAGTCAGGTAAATGAGGTGAGAAATGGGCTTGCTTGAGCTATACTACCCAAGGTAGAGAGTACTCCAGGTCCAGAAGAGAAGTGAAAGGCTCCAGGGCTTGGAGGGGTCAGGGAAGGCTTCATGGAGAATCAAGCAAGCAGCTCAGCTGGCCCTTAAAGGATGGGGAAGATTTGGACACCCAGAAAAAGGATAGGAAGCTTTCCCAACAAGAGGATACAGCAGGAGCAAAGACATTAAGGGTAGGTGCTAGGAGTGGCAATGTAAACAGTGGGGAGCCATAGAAGGTGTCTGAGGGAGGGTAGACATGAGCAGAAGAATTTCCAAAGCTCTCTCTGGTGGGTAAGGGATGGAGAAGGGTGAGAGTGAAGGCACAGACCAGAACTGGAGCAGCAGGGATGGAAAAGGTGGGTTCAGGATATACTGCAGTGGCAGAAGAACCAGGACTTAACTGTACGAGGAGTGGGGATAAAGAGCAGACTGGAGTCAGGAAACAGCAAATTGGGGGTTTGAGGTGGAAGATGTTAAATTCCATTCCAGCCTGAGCCTGCAATGTCTGTGGAACTCACAGGTGGGGAGGTGGGGAGGTGGGGAGGTGGGGCAGGACACCGGAAGGGCAGAGGTGCTGCAAGACGCCCATCTCCTTGGGTCCTTCGTGGGAGTCAGCACCTCTCAGTATTCCCTGTGACAGTGAGAATGATGGCCTTACCTGGAGGTGGGTGAAGGGTGATGGATGGCCTGGGAGGAAGCAGAGTCCAGGGGGTCAGAACGCAGACCCTGGGACCAGAGTCTGTTTGAATTCGGCCTCTACCCCTACCAGCCGTGTGACAAAGGGCAAGTCAGTTAACCTGAGCCTCAGTTCCTTATCTGTAAAATGGGGGATAACGAAGACATCTTTATGGGGTAGTGGTGAGGAGTTGCTGGATGAATCCGTGTAAAGTGCTCAGAACAATGCCTAGCACAGAGTGTTAGCAGTTATCATGGACTCGACAGGAACCACCAGCTCTTTGGGAATGGACTTTGAGAATGTAAGTGTGAGTGAACTGCAGTTTGGCTCGGCCTGAGTAGCTTTACGCCAGGGGTGGTGCTTCCTGCAGCCAATTGCTAAGATTTCTTTTTTCATGTTTGACTATTCTCTTTTATAAAAATTGAGATATACTCACTGCTATAATTCTGATGTGTGATTTTCTTTTAAAATAATGGTTGGACTATGTATCCAAAATTCCAGTGGAAGTTATGAGCAAAGAGAACACCACCCATAGATTAAAAATCTGGTTTGACAAACCGGCTCACACAAATCACTGCTCGGCCCCGCTGCAATGAGTCACAGTGTCGAAAACACGCTTTAGTGTTTTCTTGTCTCAGTTTGAAATGCCTTCCCCGTTCTCTCCCACTCTGGAAATCTTAGTGATTCAGTAAGGCCCAGCTCAATACCAGCTCCTTTCAAGAAGGCTTCCCAGTTTCCTGTCAGAATCACTCTCTCCTTCCTCTGCGCTCCTTTGGCCCCTGGGCAGAATTCAAATAGGTCCCAGGATCTGTATCCGACCCCCTCGACTCTGCTTCTTCCCAGGCCATCACCGCTCACCCACTCTGATGAGGTAGTCTCTCTCACTATCACAGGCAATACTGAGCAGGGCTGACCCCCAGGAGGGACCCAAGGAGACATGTCCCCAGACACTGCAGGCTCAATGAAGCCTCCAGCTCTGCAGCTAGGACCCGGCCTGGCCTCCCTCCACACCCTAGAGGGGGCTCAGTGGGTGCTGGGGCGTTTCTGCCTCACTTCCTCCCGTCCCTTCTTTTCTTCTGATCTTCAGACCTTGACAAGGTGATTTCCAACTTCTCACCTCACCTCCTGCCACGCTCCCTGAGCACCTCATCGGGGCAGGAGCAGCCCCTCCGCCCCTGTTGCTCTCACAGCCCTCATCGCAGGGCCCACCCTTGGGTGATACGTGGGAGACCTGTCTCCATCCCCAGGACTCTAGAATCACAGGTCCAACCGCCTATTTGAGATCATCACATCGGAGGTCAAATTCCATACTTATGAGGTCCAAACACTTACCATTCCCTCCAGTTTTTTTTTTTTAAAGACTACGTTGTATTCAAAGCCCAAATTTTAAACAGATTCTTGGACTGGTGGCTCATATCCATCAGCTTTTTCAACTTTAACAGATGTCTTGTCCCTAGTAGCTTTTTCCACAACTGCTGCCTTCTCCACCAAACTCCATAGTTTTCTCAACTCAAACTCAGGAAAGCATTTTCATGTCAGTCAGCATTTTCACTTTTTAACACAGACATCACAGAGTGAATAAGGCAAGCCTTTTCTATGTCTTCTCTGATGCTGTTTGGAAGAAATTCATTGACCTCTTCTTTCAAATCATTTTCCTGCACCTCTTGGGTCATTATTTCATCATCCGTACTTGGCAGACCTGCTGGTGCTGAGGGTAAAAGGTCTTTCTTAATCTGACTGTTGTGGTTTTTTTAGCAAAACCAACACAACATGAGAAGTAAACGTCAGTAATCTTGATACCAACATGAGCTTCAATCGTGGTCTGCGGTTTTTTGACCATGGAGCACATATTGTCATGGATAAGATCTGTGCCAAGAAAGGTAGGCTGTTTTTGCCCTGAACATCTTCAGTAATTAGCTTTAATTTTCTAAATGCAGCATCATGATTCTGCACATCAGCAAGGCTCATGTCCACAAGATGACCCTTGAGGCCATCAGACACAATTTTGGTTCCTCAAGTTCTCCTGACTAGGGGTTTTCCAATATTTCTTATATTGAATGTAGCTGGTGCATTCACATCCTACCAACGTTTTTTAGAAAAAAGATCAACTACTTTTTTCTTTGCCCCTCTTTTGCCAGCTTTATTCAGGCATTTGTTCTTGCATACCGCCATGGTACCGTTCAGAAAGCCAAGAGGGCCATTCCCTCAAGTTCTAAATGCTTTATCCCATCTCAGAATATAACAACTTCCTTCTACTTGCTCAGGCCAAAATCTCTGGAGTCTCCTTGGTATCTCTCTTTTTCTCTCCCTGGACCAACATCTACTCCTGTTAACTGCCTCTCTGCTTTGCTGTTCCTTCAAGATGCCAAACTCTTACCTTGTGCCTCAGGACCTTTGCACTTGCTTTTCCTGCTGCTTATAAGACGTCTCCCCCAGGTGTAACAGCAGCAGCAACAATAATAGCTAATGCTCACAGGATGCTTACTATTCCTGACCACCATTCTAAGCACTTTACATATAAGAACTCATTTAATGCTTGCAACAACTCTATAAATAGAGGGGACTCTATTATCATCTCCACTTTATGGATGTGGAAACAGAGGCATGGATAAGTTGGGTGCCCTGCCTTAAGGGGCAGGGTTAGGAAGTGGTGGGCCTGGGTTAGGAACCCGGGCAGTCTGGCTCTAGAGTCCATGCATGTGACACAGTGCTCTCCAGCCTTTCCTTCAGGTCAGCTCACACATCCCCTTCTCAGAGAGGCCTTCCTCATTTCCCCATATAAAATAGCTCTTTCTCCTGGTCACCCTCTATTCTCCTTACTCGGTTGTATTATTTTTTTCAGAGCACTTCTAATCGCTGACATAGATTCGATTTGTTGTCTGTCTTCGCCTTAAAAGACTGAGCACCACAAAGGCAGGAGCTTTGTTTTGTACCCTATTGTGCCTGGCGCATAGTAAGGGCTCAATAAATGTTCTGAATGAAGCCTAATAGCAGAGATAAATGAATGAATGAATGGATATTTCTGAGCACCTGCTTTGTATCAGGCCCTGCAGTGACTTCGGAGCTGGACCTAAAGTGGTTCTTGCCCTCTGGGCATTTACAAGAGGCAGGGAGGGGGTCTGTGTATCTGGCTCACAAACACCCCCAGGCAGGAGATGGAGCAGGCCTTGGAGGGGGAAGGGAAAGAAGGGGGAGATGGCCAGGAGAGGGAGCCAGCCCAAGGTGGCACAGACACGCCTCCCAGGTGAGCAGGCTGCGGTCCTTGACAGAGCGGGAGGAAGAAGGAGGAGTTAGCCCTTCCAGCTGGGAGCCTGGAGCAGACAAAGCTGAGTGAGTGTGGCAGAACCCCGGAGCAGCTCAGGGGCAGGAGCAGAGCACTGCGGCTGCGACAGGCAGGACATGGTCTCGGGATGCGCAGGAGGTGCAGCTAGAAGGGAGGGTTGGGCCCAGGCCCAGGAAACCCTGCCTGCCCAGCCTACCTAGGGCCTCTGTGCGGGAGAGTCATGATGTAGGGTGGCGATCTTCACAGCCATCTGTGTCTAAAGGGCACTAGGGGAGTAAAGGACCCAAGGGTGGTCACATGGGGACTTACTTTCCTTAAGGCGGACGTCCAGTGGCGTCTGTAGCAGGCTCTGCATGGCTTCCACGAGGCCATTAAAGAAGATTTTGACAGGCTCGAAGGAGAAGGGAACGGGCTGGCATAGCTCGCCCAGGCTCATCTGCCGCTGGATCTGCTGCTCAGCAGCTGTGTACTCCTGCGAGGGCACGCGGGGTCAGGGCAGCCCGGGGCCGCGCCCCAACCTCCCACGCCAGGAACAAACCCAGCCAGCCGGAGGCCCCCACCGGCCCGACACCTGCGCCAGCCCAGGCCGGGGAGCACAGCCCAGGGAACTCTGGTCAGCCCCGCACTGAGAGACCTTTTAAATACCTTTGATGTGTTAAGTGCAGCTCTTTTAGGTAGAAGCTAGAAAACTGTCCCAGCCCTCCGTGTACCCCTGGTGTAGGCCTGTGACGAGGCTTCTCCACTCTAAGAGGCGGATGTGGAAGTGAGGGCGGGGTAGCGATGGCGGCGCGTAGCTGTGTGGGACAGCAGTGGTGGAGGTTACGGGGCTGTGCCCTGGGGCAGTGGTATGAGCTGTGGCGTCCTGCCCAGTGGAGATGCAGTGGAGTCTGCACTGGAGCAAGCCTATGCCGTGGCCTCAACTTCACTCCTATTGCCTGGTCTTCATCCCGACTTTCTGACCCTCCTGCAGGCCTGTGAGCTGCCTAATACTGTTTCATGAATTCCTTTCTCATTTAAAACAGTTACAGTGGATTCTCTTATCTGCAGCTAAGAGCCCTGTCTGCACTTTCTGGAGGGTGGTCTGGGCAAGGATTTAGGAGACAGCAGATTGCCTTAGGCGAGCAGGCCCTGGCTGGTGGGCAGTGCTGCCCAAGATGGAGTGGATGGATGGATGCCTCAGGAGAGAGGAAAGATGGCTTGGCAGTCCCCCCCGTGGGAGGAGCTGAGGGATGGTCTTTAAGCCCCGCCCACCTAGGAAGTGGCAGGTCTAAAGCCCATCCTCATTTGGGTGGGAAGAAGGTAATTTGTGGGGAAACAGGGCTAAGGTCACACCCAGAGGCCTGCAGTGGAGCTGGCCAGGGAGTCAGAGCACTAGCAGGGAGGGCAGGGAGCAGCTCCAGGCAGCAGGAGGGTGGCCCAGAGGGCAGATGGGTGGGGTGGGACTGAGAGGGGGATGAGGGACAAATACCACCACCTGGTAACCCCAAACTCCAGCATCTAGCACAGGGCCTGACACATAGTAGGCTCTCGATAAGTGTTTATGATTGGATAAATACTTCTTGCCTTTGCAGACTCAGAGAATAGCCCCATAGCCACCCATGTCTCACCCATCAGCTGTCATCTTGGCTTCCTCTAACCACCAGTCCTGTCACATCTCCCATACCTGCCTGCTTCTCCCTATCCCTGCTGCCTCTTCGCTGGGCCAGCCCACCACCATCCATCTCCTGGACACTGGGGTCTCCTCCCAACTTCCCTTCCAGCCTCCAGTCCTGGCCTGCCCAGTCCACCCTCCAACCTGTCACCAAAGTGACCTTTCTAAAGCATTAATCTGACCAGGTCATTCTTTGGTTCAAAACACTCCCCTGGTCCCTGTTCTCTTTATAGGATAAAGTCTAAACTCCATGGCCAGGCACATAAGATCTTTCATCAACCAGCCCTGGCCTTCCGATCCAGCTGCATTTCCCAACAGCCCCTCCTCCCTTATACCCTCCTGCCCCACCTCCAGCCAGGCTGAATCCCAGTGGTTCTCCAGCCTGCCAAGCTCTCTCATGCACACGGTTCTTTTCTGCCTGAGAGGTCCTCTATGCTTCTTCCCTCTGAATATACCAAAGGAGCTCCTCCTTATCCTTCCACACCAGCTGCATTGTCATTTCCTCCTGGAAGTCTTCCCTGATTCCCCATACAGAGTTGGAATTTTCTTGGACACGCTTTTGCTAGCTTACTTGAGCTGAGCTGTGTGTGAATAACTGTTTCCGAGTACATCTCGCCACCAGTGAGCTCCTCATGTGAAGCAGGGGCCTGCTACAGATCAGGTTACTGAGTGTACATTTGATGAACAAATGAGTGAGCAAATGCAAGGAACGATGAATAATGAAAATCAGTAGCCCTGACCCCAGAGGGGGGAAAAATGACAAAGCCCTGAAACTATACCTATGATGGAAGAATGACATTCTTCTCCATGGAAACACCCCTTTGCGTTAGCTATCCCTAAAAGATAACAATATTTTAAAAGAAAAAAAATACCCCTCTGTACATCTTGCCTCTCTTGAAGTACAATGTCTACTGTGCCTAGGAGAGCATCTCACCCAGAGTATTTTGTTAGTGTTTATTGTTGTTATTTGTTGTTGCTTTATTGTTAGCTAACAGTGAGACACAGGCCGAGTTGACCAAGGCCACATAAAGGCACAAGCCAGGGAGTGGCTTGACGAGTTTTGTACTGACTTACTTATTTGTCTATCTTATTTTGCAGCCAGAGCCCAAACTAATCTGTGGTTAAACTCAGTGCCATCTGTATTTAGTTGTACCTTATTCCACAAGCTTTTAAAGCATCTTATGAAGGTTATCTAATACTGCAAAGTTTTCCTTTACAGTGAGAAAAATGAAGCCAAAGGAAAACCAGGTCAAGAATGTAAGCTAGAAGCCAGGGTGAGATGAGGCACAAAGTCTTATCCCAGCTATTTGAAATATATTTGGCTCTGAGCTTCCCAGAAACCATGGCAAAGAAAGAAACAGGAAGAGTTACATGAGGAGAAAAGCAATCCAAGTGCACAGGTGACTGCACAGGAGTATTGACATGAGAGAGGAGGTTCTCATGGTTCCTTCAAGACAGAAACACCACCTTCAACAACATGCTTTCACTAAGGGTGTAGGAATGACTATCAGAGGGGCTAGTTTTTAGATTCTCCTTCAGGATAAGATAACAACCTCTAATAGAGTACCATCCTTCTCTCCTCTTTGAGCAAACTGTGACTCAGCCCTTGAAGTCTGCTTGGTAGCTTTTGAAAGGACACCTGCCTTTTCAGAAGTGATGTTTCGATTAAGACTGCACAGGTAGAGGACTGGGCAGTGATGCCTTGTGGCCTTACAGTCAGACAGACCTGAGCCCCGATCTACCCCCCACCAGCTGTATGACCCTGGGTGAGTCACTTCATCTCCCTGAGCTGCAATTTCTCATTAGTAAAATGGGGTGAGAATATCCAGTTTGCAGAGCTCCAGTAGATATTAGATCTAAGATAAATGAAGCACTTGGAACACAGAGGCCCTCAAAAATGGTGGCTGTTAGTGCTATTCAATGAGTTCAAGATATATATTACATTCCTATTCATACGTATTTTATGACCATTTGTGTGGGGGGCAAGGAAGTCTACATGCTGTCAAGGCAACTCTCTGCATATTTATTCAGAGTGTAAATACCGTGTTCAATGTCATAGTAACCAGGATGAAATGTGGTGGCGGTGGCCAGGGTGAGGGCAGAAACCCAACATTACCTGCAGCAGCTGTATAGGATTGGGCTCCTGGCTGATACTCCAAACCCTGCTGGAGAGGCTGTCCGTGACATCGATTTGCTCCCCACAAGACTTGATCTGCTCCCTGTACACCTGGAGCGCAAGCTGCGTGTTTTTATCAATGAATTTCTTGGCTAGTGCTTCCTCTTCATCAAGCAGCAATCTGAGTTCAGTGAATTTCTCTGTCAGCCAGGTTTTACTTGACTCTGCATGAGCCTAAAAAGAAAACCAGTTGCAGATGATATGATTGCCAACCAGGAAATCCAAAATGGTCAACATGAAAAAAATTTTGATAACCTCTAAAAATTATGATAATCTCTAAAAACTCACACTTTCCTAAGTACCGGTTATAATCAATTAGAAAATGCATGGAGAAATAAAGAACCTTTTATAAACAGTAGAAAAAAATTGCAAAGTATCTAAAACTAAACCTAACAAAAACTGTAAAGACCTAGATAAAGAGAAGCATAAAACTGTACTGAAAGACATTAAAAAATCTGAATTCATAGAATTACAAACCATATCCCAGGCTGGGAAGATTCACTAATATAAAGATGCCATTTGTCTCCAAGTTAGCCTATAAATTGGATGTAGCTGAAATCAAAGTCTTAATATATATATTAAACAAATTTTAAATTATCATGGGGAGAATAAGCACAAGAAAAGCCAAAAATTGCTTTAAAAAGATCAATAAAGGATGAACTGCCTTATTAGCTATCAAAACAGACTGTAAAGCTACAGGATTGAAAACCACGTGGTTTAGGCATAGACAAAAGGATCAAGAGCACAGAATAGTTTAGAAAAGAATACATATATATACATATGTGTATAAATATATGCATTTATATGCTATTCAATAAATGATATTGGCCCAGCAATTTATCTTTTGAAAAAAATTAAGTTACATCCTTACCTTTTTCTGTATACAAAAATAAATTCATACAGACTCCACTTATGAAGTAGTCTTGCGAAAAATGTGAATCTGAATCTGAAGGAGCCTTAAAGATACAATGTAGAGAACACAAAGAGGACAGAGGAGCATGCTAACCATCAGCTTAAAAAATACATCAACCGATTGCATTTTGAAAACCTTATTTCACTCCTAATTCAAACAAAATGTGACATTTATAAGACAATTGAAAATGCGACCATGGATTGGATCTGTGACGATATTAAGGAACCACTGTTAGTTTTCAGAGGTGTGATGATGATACTGTGGCTATATATTTTAAAAGATGAGTCTTTGTAGAGATAATATGCTGAGAGTTCGATGCAGAAAAAGCATTTGATAAAATTCAACACCCATTTATTATAAAAACTCTCGCCAAAGTGGGTATAGAGGGAACATATCTCAACATAATAAAAGCTATATATGACAAACCTATAGCCAGCATAGTTCTCAACAGTGAAAAACTCAAAAGCTTCCCACTAAAATCTGGGACAAGACAAGGATGCCCACTATCACCACTCCTATTCAATATAGTCCTGGAAGTCCTAGCCACAGCAATCAGGCAAGAGAAAGAAATAAAAGGGATCCAAATTGGAAAAGAAGAGGTAAAAGTGTCGTTATATGCTGACGACATGTTACTATATATAGAAAACCCTAAAAGGTCCACAAAAAAGCTACTAGAGCTGATCGAAGAATTCAGCAAGGTAGCAGGTTACAAAATTAATGTTCAAAAATCAGTTGCCTTTCTTTACACTAACGATAAATCAACAGAAAAAGAAAGTAAAGAAACAATCCCCTTTAAAATAGCACCCAAAG